GACACTCTTGTAGGACACTCTTGTGGGACACTCTTGTGGGACACTCTTGTGGGACACTCTTGTAGGACAATCTTGTGGGATACTCCTGTAGGACACTCTTAAGGGTCACTCTTGTAGGAAACTCTAGTGGGACACTGTTGCGGGTCACTTGCAGAGGGTTGCGCGGGCACCGGACAAATCGCACTCTCGCTTGCATTTCGCGCGCTCGACACGCGCGATCTCCGCAGAGGGTTGCGCGCGCATGGGACAAATCGCACTCTCGCCTGCATTTCGCGCACTCGACAGGCACGATCTCCGCAGAGGGTTGCGCGTCAAGTCTCCAAAACGAGCGTTTCGTATGAGACTTCCTCAAAAACTCACATGTCAAAGTCTGCAAAACGAGCGTTTCGTACGAGACTTCCTCCAAAAGTCAAGCGGAAACACCCATCGGAGCACACACATTACGCAGCCCTGCCAAGCAGTTTCGCGATTCCAGCCCCGCCAAACAACATCCGCTCACACGCCAATCCCAATGTGACAGCGACATTCACCTCTACCACAACTCACAACCTCACGCTTCCCTGCGCCTGCCACGACAATGGCGCTTCCACGCCTCAAAACCCGCACAAAGTCCTGCGCCTGCCACGAAAAGTCACAATATCATCGCATGTGAGCCTCAACAAAATTTGCACCACACCACACGTTTGGAATGATTTCGACCCGTTCGGAGCACACTCCCATCCACCAAAATCGCCATTTCAGCTGAGACTTGTCACGAAAACCGAGCTTCGATGCCACACCCTGAAACGCAAATCCCAATGGCACGGCCACATCCAACACCCCAAAAACACGACTCTCCAAACGCTAATCCCAATGGAACTGCGCAGCAATCTGCGGATCTCACAAAACGCTGCGCCTGTGCAGCGAAATGCATCACGTTTCTTGCGCGACATGTCGGTGTCATGCAAATCACAATAACGGAATTGCGGCGCAAACTGACATGTGACACATCCATGAAAAGTCACTTGCAAAAGCTTCCCCCAATGGCAGCAAATTTGAGACGCGACGACGACGACACGACGACGACAAACGACGACAAACGACGACACGACGCAAGCCATGCAAACACAGCTCCAACCCCCAGACCCCCAACTATAAACGGGAACCCTTCGCTACGCATTCGGGAAAAATTGTGTGCCCCTGTTGATTTGTGTGCTTCAATTTCTACAAATGAAATTGGTCAATGCCATAGAAGCCCCACAGTTTCAGAGTTCCAACTTGTTTCGTCGATCCAACTTTGAAACATTTGAGAACATGCCTGAGTTTGGTCAAAACTTGAAAAAGTTTTTGGCGTGGGCGACCCACCCACACCCACACCTCCAAAGCAACCTCAAAGCTGTTTGGAGCTTTGTTAAGAGAAGCTTTTGGAGTTTGACAGGCTGCATGGAAATTGCTTGCAGACACCTTGTAGCCGCAGCCTTTTACAGTCAAAGGTGTGCGCAAGTGGTGCGAGTGCTTCCTTGTGAGCCGCGTGTTTTCGCTTTGTGCTTTTCAGGTGGTGGTGGTGCTGGTGGAGCTCGGAGAATGTCCAGGTCAATGTTTGGTCGCAAAAGAAGCAAAGGCAGTGATTTGTCTGTGTCCGCAGGTCGTTTGTGCAAATATGGCTGATGTGGACACGTTCCACGTCTTTCAGATGGTGTTGCATTTGGGGGGGGTCAAAAGTTTTTCGAGTGTAAGGTTGAAAAAATTGCAGATCTGAAGCTGGTGCCAAGAATTATCTTCAGTTTCGCAAGAAAGTCCTTGACGAGTTGCTGGAGAATTTGACACGGCGCTGTGCGGTCTGCTAGCCACTCCTGGTCACGTCAAACCTTTTGGAAGTGATGCTTTTCAAAAATGCATTT